GAGTATGAATGTGATCAATTGTGCTGAACCCTCTCCGAAACCCTGCTTGCTCGCATGGATGTCCTTAATCTTACATTCTGCCAATCTGTTCAGGATGACGCGAGTGAAAACCTTGTAGATTACAGACAGCAGGCAGATTGGGCGTTAACTGCCAATATCGTCTGGATCACTCTTTTTATACAGCAACAAAGTCTTGCTAGTTTTCCAAGACGTGAGCACTTTGCATCCCGACAGGTACCGCGTGAATAGCTTAGCCAGAATTCTGACGATAAATTGTAAACTTCTCTGATGGGATCAAACCAGAACATCTGAAGATTCTTCCACCAGTTATCGTTAGAACTTTGGCTAGGCTATTCATGCGGTATCTGTCGGATCAAACCAGAACATTACTGGTTGACTTCTTGAAATGGAGAAAAGTTAAAGTTTGCCAGGTATACAACTTGTTGGGAAATCAGAATTTGAAATTTGGAAGACAGTAGGAAGTAATAAGCAGATTGAGATTTACCATGAGAAATACGGAAAGCTTATCGTAGAAGTCTGTTATGTAAGTCTGATGGAAAATTTTACAATGGTGAGAAAAGTCTAGGTGAGAAAAGGTTCGAAATAAGACCATTTTCAAAGGAAACAAAAAACAATAGTCTGAAACCGATAGTTGAGAAACAGCCTAACACTTGCTGGGACTTTAGGCATTGTGAACCAATTCCCTCTTTTTAATTTCCATTCAACTTGACATGTCAATACTTTAGTATGAATTCGAGCAGATTCAAAGGCGATCAAATGACGAGAGGAAATCGAGTATGATCGCATGAGTGAGTAATTGAAACCCAATAATAGTTCATACAGCAGCGCAGCCTAATGATTCTCAGGATTCTATAGGATATTTTCATTTTTCTCGCACAGCTTGAACTTGTTCACTCCATAAGTATGACTTTTCAAAGGCACTGTACATTCGGAGCGTGTGGGCTCAGTTGCTAATACTATTAAGTACTCCAAAACATATGAGTAGTGATACCAATGCGAAATGGTGAGCGACTTTAGGTCGTCTGCCAACAGGATGTATGCTAGAAATCCTGATCCGCCCTCAGCTCGTGAAATGCCGTTCAGAGATCCCCACTACTATCTCCTGGGGATCGTGAGCTTCGTTTGTGACTAAGTTAAAACTAACTTCTATGAATAGTGACTTTGTCAAAAATTCGTTCCACCTTACTTCATGATCATTTCGTTTTCGCTTAGTGATTGATCAATTACTCCGATTAATAGCCGCCCCTTTTCAGAAAATCCAAATGCTGAAACTGGCAAACGTACTTGTATTACTTTCAACCATAATAGTAATATGTGAAGCGTTTCGGACACAGAGCGTGGCGGTAAAGGGACGACTGATGTGCGGCAGTCAACCAGCGACCAACGTGCGCGTCAAATTGCTAGATGAGGATCAAGGTGAGCCTTCGTTGATATTTTACCTAAAAATGACAAATCTTCGCAAAACATGCAAGTTTATGAAAGTGGAACATTGAAAAATTGGGAAATTTTCAGAATCACAGACAAGAAACGGAGATTATTCCAGGTGATCCAGATGACGTGATGGACCAAATGCTAACGAATTCCGATGGACTTTTCAGTCTGAGTGGCTCAGCGTCTGAACTGACACCAATCGACCCAGAGCTACGGATCTATCACGACTGTAATGACCATGGCAAGGTGGGTCTTTATAGAGAAATTACTTAACCATTCTTCTTGGGGGAATGCAAACTGGAATTGAGTACACGGTGTATAACACCGTAACGTCTTACCACTTTTCTTACCAAAAGAACTCATACCGAAAGAAAGACTCCATGCTAGTTCAGACCCACCATTCATTGCAAAAAGGAACACATCGCGCACGAAACATTTTCTGCCAACTAGGTAGTATGCACATAAAAAAGTAACGTATATAAAGATGTTACATTACGCCCAGTGCCCTTCCGCCTGGGTTATTTCTTGTACAACGCAGATTAAATGTTGTAGAGGTAAGACGGGCCCACATTCATAGACGCGTGGTTGGGCAACCGAATCCCGGCTCAATACTCGATTTAGACTTTTCATCAGACCTCCCAATCATATAGGATCGGTTGATTGGTGCCAGATCCGCCTGGGAGGATTAGTACAGAAACTTGTACGTCAGGCTAGCAACCGCAAGCCATTGTACTGGACACATACGCATTCTATACGTCACTACGATTCTGAAAAGAAATTGGATGCAGGGTGCACCCCCAAAACGAGATATATTTACGCCAAGGAATTTTATCTCACTTGTATATCGTGAGGACATGCCGTTTTTTGAAGTTATCTGATTTTACCAATAATTAAGTTCCCTACAAATTTAATGCTCCCCCTACCCCATTTTGAGCCTATCCATTAGAAAAAATGCTTGCGATGAAACTAAAATAGATTTCGTCTGAACAGTTCAATCTAGATCATTTTCCAGCCATGTCAACGTGAATGGATCATTAGGATCCCAAGCAACTACATCTACTCGGGTGCTGAACCAGAACGGACCATGGATTTAGGAACAATGAACCTTGAGGCCAGCTATATGAAACTTTCGATCGATTTTTTTATAATATTCCTACACGAAGAAAAAGCTTAAAACTTCTTGGGACCGTCATTAACTAATGTGAATTCCAATTGTGATCAGAACAGCTAGTCTCTGACGCCAATATGAATCGTTCGAACATCGATTTGGCGAGACTCTTTTATGAGAATATACGGTCGACTTTACGAAAAAAATGAGCTATTCTCACGATGAACTTATGAAATAAAAAACACCTCAATAAATTGGGCAAGTGAAAAAACAAGACGCGTAGAGGTGCCGTGGATGGTCCATCAGGGCTCACTGGGGCCTCTACGTCTCTGCTCTGCGCACCATCCTACCATGTTTCTCTCTGCTCTATATTGTAGATCGACTTTTCGACTGGAATTTTGGTACCGTAACTTTTCCAATGAGGCACACTTACATTCAGGGAAAATTCACACAACCATTCAATAAAGGTATTTTATCAACTAAAAATAGCAATTGCTGCATGCTACAGCATGAAACCTTCTTCGGAGGTTATCCTGGCCAACGGAATGTATGAGCGACTAGGAAGGTGATAAAATGGGGTACCCATTACCCTTGTACAGGAAAATTTTCATTCGTCGTATGGGCAGAACTGCAAAAATCTCCCAAAAGTAGGCTGACGGTGAGCGCGAATCTGGTAACCCCTACAACACTTCGTGATAGGCATACTCCTTCTGAACAAATGAAAGGACAATTGTTCAAGTGATGAGGGAGGATGGAACAACAGCCCCGCGCACAGACTTATCCAACCAACTTCTAAATAAATCGTGATTCTTCACTCCTTACTATCAGTGGATGTCCCTGCATTGAAATGGATATTGATTTTACGCCCATGTATATATGCCAAAGGTTCGAAAGGTTTAAAAGCTCTACTTAGCCAAGAAATTATATGATTATTCACCAGTCACTTTAAGAATGTGTAACAACCTTATAATAGCAACGTTTTCAGGTCGAACTGGAGAGTGAAAGCCAGCGTTGTCCTGTTTAATTTGATTACATACATATATTGATTGAATATTTGATTGTCTTCATATTTATGCGATTTGTGTCGAAGAGTTTAAAGAGTTTTCATTTGAAATCCTTATGATGATATTTGAGAAGGTGTTATCCACAGAATTATCTCTCGATTCTTCAAATGTATGTTAAAAGCAAACCATCTATAGGTTCCTACATTTTCTGTCGAGCAACCGTTACCATTTTAGGCTCTCTTTCCTTTACAGAAGCCATTTTTGACTTTCTTACGATAAAAACCCGTTATCTTGAAGTCAGTAGCAGGGTCAGGTAGAAGTGAGCGGCCCCAGTTCTATTTATTCAAACTAACTTTCCGCTTCTAAACTTTGATCACCTGAGACAAGCTCTTATGTACTTCTTTTACTGCTCATATTTCTCCGCTCGCTATTTCTTCCGTTACAAGGCCCATTTCCAGATAGCATATCCTCCATTTTCACTTATCTTCTGTTCACCCATTACGAGAATTTCTATTGCCTACCAGGCATCCAATTTTCCCTGATTCTCTATCTTAACGCAGAATTAGGATTTGTCACCTCAATTCCAACATTCACCAAATAGACGTCCAAACTCTTCGGGGTCCTCTCTACTAGCTGGTCTCTACTTAAGCTCTCTATCAGCTTTTATGCGCCCAAGTACGCCGATACCATTCATCGGTAATGGTCAAAACCCTGTAGCCACTAACTTCGCCACTATTCCCCACATACTATTAGCAGTTTTGGCTAGATTACATTTAGTTAATTATATTCCAACAATGTACATGTCGTCTCTGGTTATTTTATTCTCGTTGATCGCCGTGGTATATGGTCAGAACAGAGAGCAGAACTACAGGGTGAGTAACTGAAGTTATCGAAAAATTTTAGCGAATCCACCCTCGTCGTTATTAGAATGGAGATTCGATTTGTAAGGCGGTAGGTGTTCTGAAGGTGAGTTCGGAGCGGGGTTACAGTAGCAATGTACAGTCCCAGTTGGTGAACAGCTCAGTCCTGTTGTGAACCAACCCTACCTACCTGAACCCTGTTCACGGGTTGATGGTCCTGGACCACTACTCCTATTGAATTTCTTTCTAAAAACAATCAGAGGATAGAATGTACAGTTAAAATCATTACATTCAATTTCAGGTTCGAGGTGCTCTGATGTGTGGTGATAGGCCGGCGAGAGATGTACAAGTAAAGCTAGTCGACGATGATTTTGGTAGGCATAACAGACGCTTGCCGTGGTTTTGGGTAACACCGAGCGTCAAAGAAGTATTTCGTTCCGTCCTTCCTTCTTTCTCCTTCTAAGTATTCCGTCACTTTTTTCCTATACTTCTGGCCATTGCCTTGAAGCTTGTTAATTCGAAACCGTCTTCAACTCGGATCCATTTACAGAGCAATCCTTGAGCTTTTTTTTTCGCACAAGTAGAGATCGAAGGCTTTCAGGTGATCAAAACAGATAACAAATGAGTAGAGTGCTCACCTCAAACCGATTTACAGTATGTTTAAATGTCATATGCACTTCAGGTCCCGACCCAGATGATGTGCTGGATTCCGGCTACACGGACGCCAATGGAGCTTTCGAACTACATGGTTCGACAGCGGAACGTACCACTATCGATCCACAGCTGAAATTTTATCATGATTGTAACGACGGTGTTATTGTAAGTGTACACAAATGCATTGGATATTTTTTACCCT